TATATATATATATATATAGAAGAAAAATATTTATTCTTTGAATATATGAGTACTCAACATTTGTCTGAGTGACACACTCCTCTACAGCTGAAAACGTTGGGAAAATATTAAAAATCGAAGAGAGCTCTTACCTTGGTCAAGAATATCCATGCTCAGAGCAATTCGCTTGATGTTATTTCTGCTGATTCATTTTGATAACTTGTTTTCCTCTTTTCCTCCAGATAGCTAAAAAGGTTATAATAACAGGGATTCTTTTATGTTGTGAGACATAAGTGAAGATAATTGCATAATTGCCACTATTTAAAGTAAGTCTGTGGTAAAAGAAAATGTTAACGTACATTTAGTATCAAAACTTGTGCAAAATCGTGTTTTTTCTCTACGTGGATTTTTTTTTCGTGTGCGTGTGCGCGTGTGTGTGTGTGGGGGGGGGGCAGAAACGCACGTACACACAGGCGTATGTCACACAATAAAGGTAATGACCTAAGTCAGTTCAAGGTGACAGCTCACCCTGAATAATCATGCTAATGCAGTTATTTGGAGGCGTGAGGTGGATTTGGGAGAGTTTTAAATGATTACGACCTTTTGACTTTGAGATTTTATTCATCACTGAAATTTTGTATCAGTGTGGAAAACATTTGATTAGTAAAGTAGAAGGGCAAAATAAAACGTAAATTATTTCCACCAACATCTATTTTCACTTTCAAACAAGCAAGATGTGTTATTTAAATGTATTATTGTTAAAATGTCATACATACTCAACCGAAACGCATGCTTAACATAACGCAGGCGTAATTGTTTCATTGCAGTATAGTACAGTGTATAATATTCCCTCAAACATGGAAATAATTCTTCCTTACAAATGGTAAAAATTGAATTCATTGAAAATAATATAAAAATAATCAAAAATCAAACGTGTTTAAATTGGTCTCGTATGCTATACAAGTACTGTTTATTGTGTGAACGTATACTGTATGTAGTTATAAAGTGTCAACAGCAGATGTCAGTGTTGTAACAGTGAAGAGCCCCTGCGCTCAATACGGTTCTAACCCCCACAACCTTCCGTTATTCTTTACAGGTTAACTTCTGATGTAATAACACCATTGAGGGTGGGTGTGACGTTTAGGTGTGTTGGTGTTTCATAACTGTTAAAGATTCAGATGGCAAATGTGGTAGGTGAAGGCCCGTTAGCTGCTCGTTCATGGCAGATATTGTCCTTCCTCTTAGTAATACATTCATATTTGTGTCGTTTATACTATGTATTCAGTTAATTGTAAAATGAGACATTGTTCACAGTTTGGACGTACTTTAGTTTGCTTATTCGTAGCCAATTTGAGAGGTGACAGAAGATGTTTTTCTTGCTTGCTCTCTTTTTTTACCCCTTGGTTGGATTGATTGGCATGGTTCAAGTGAGAAAATTCAAAATCAGATATGCATTAGATCATTAAAAGATTATCTTATTTTATCTTAGCGGATTTTTTTCTTAATTATGGTCGAAATATGTTTCAGTAAATGTGTGTACATTTTAAAACAAGCAAAATTATTTGCTCATGGCAGCCAGAGAAATGTAGAGGTTACCCTCAATTAAATCAATGGGGAAGAATTAGCCCAGGCCAAGCACACTGTATTTAACGTTTAATATTTGTGCAGTTGACCCATACTCATACTCTGGATTCGCCACCTAGTTGAAAATTTTGTACGTTTTTTTTTGGGGGGGGGGGGGATATTTGTTTTTTTGTGTGTTTGTGGAGGAAGAGTCATTCCCCGTTTTTCATGGAAAACGCGTATTTGAGATTTAACGCTGTTTTTTCACGATTTATTTTAGATTGAAAAAAATTGCTTTCAGTGGATTTATAATCAGTATTAATTACATGCGCAATTTTGCTATTTCACTGTTGTCGATGACAGGTGTACGCAGAGTTATTCATGTGAAATGATGAGTGTCAGCGCATTCAACATATTGCGTAAGTGTAAACAGCCGTATCTGATAGGTGTCACACAAAGCATACTGTACATGGAGATAAAGTAAAAAATAAATAATGATGTCAATAATTTGGAATTTGTCAATGGAAGAGATTTCTTGCAAGACACTGAAGTTAATTGGCGTCTTAAAATCAAATATTTGTCAAGAAACCACATTAACTATGAATAATTCTCTTCTCTGTTTCAAGTTTCTGGATCTCCACTGCATGGTTCAAGTGATTCAGATCGTTTTTTCCTCACATGAAGTTTGGTGTTTTGGAATGGCGTGCAATGAACTAGTTTGTGTGTCAGCATAAGAATACCCTATCATGTGGTACCAGCTTGATCCTTTATCGCCTGTTTTTCATTTGATTGTTTTATATTATGTCCTATAAGTGATTTTCATACATTTGTTTTTACCATAATTACCATGATCTTTCTACTGCGTTGGTGTAGGCTGGTTATTTGCATCCCTAATTACGCCCAAATTCAGGTTATGTCGTCTCTGTAGGTACGAGAACTCCACTGTAAACCAAGGACCCCCTGTAATTGCTTTTGCGTATTTTGGATGTCTGCGAGTGTTGGCTCAACTCAAATGTGAACACAGTCATAATGGCTGAGTCACTTGAAGATACGTACATATAAATAGACAGCGCATACAGGGCTTAAATCAGAATAGTTCACTTTAACCCATGGTCTCATTTACAGCACGGAGTTTCTGCTCCTGTGGCCTATATGCCCTTGTCCTTTCTTGTTCCTCCTCCAGCATAGACAGCCAATGATGGTGGCGCTTATGATCACTGTAGCGATGACCGTGATGACAATGAGGATGATGGAAGTATGGTTGGGAATGTGACCCTCCTCCTGCTGTCCACCGTTTGTGACTTCATCCTCGGATGAAGAAGTTGTCTTGATAGCAGGTGGGGTGTTTGGTTTCCTTCTCCTCTCCGTTGAGGTCAGCGGTGTCTGCTGTGTGAAACTCTGTATCTCCAAGTCCTCTTCTGTGAGTCCAGTAATCATCTCTCCATTCAGATTGAGAGGGGTATCGCACACCACTAGTGTTTGGTTGGCCTTGGATGGGTGCTTTCTCAGCCAGTTGCGAAGAGGCAGAATATCCATGTCACACCTCCAGGGGTTCTGCTGAAGAAGTATCTCTTCTGCCACAGAAATGGCATCTAGATCTTGCTGTGGCAGGTTTCGGAGAGTGTTATTTCTCAAGTCGATCTGTCCCAGATGACTCAGGCCCTGGAGAAAACCACCGGGCAGATGATTGATAAAATTGTGCTCCAAAGAGATGTTGACCAGGCTGGGGAGACCTTGGAATGTCCCAGCTTGCAATGTTTTCAGCAAATTTGTGTGAAGTGACACTTCACCTAGATGTTCCAACCCTCGGAAGGCTCCGGGCGATACGTAGCTAATCCGGTTGTGACTGAGCACCAGGAGACGCAGTTGTGTGAGATTTTTAAAGGTGTCAGCCTCTATACGGATCAGTTTATTGTCATAGAGCCACAACTCTTGAATGGCCGTGGAACCAAATACCCCTGGACCAAAGCTTTCCAGATGGTTTTCATACAAGGAGATCTGGGCAAGCAGAGGGACGTGAAAGAAGAGTCCCTGTGGAAGAGTCCTCAGTTGGTTGTTGGAGAGGAACAGCTTTGTGAGTTTGGGAGTTTTTGAGAACAAGTCATGCTGGAGATGAGTAATACGATTGTCCTGTAGGGATAGTTCCTCCAGGTTCCCGAGGTCATCGAAACTCCCACTGGGTATTTCTTGAAGCGCATTTTTATTTAATCGAAGATATTTCAGCTTCGAAAGCCCTTTGAATGCCTCACTGGGTAACTGACTGATAGCATTTCTTGCAAGCAAAAGGTACTCCAGCTCACTCAGGGGGTGAAAAGTTTCCATGGGTATTAAGGTCAGTTGATTTCCAGTGACATCAAGGGCAGTAAGCATTTTAATCGGGGAGAACCATTTTGGACGGAGTGCCGCAAGCTTGTTTCTGTTTAGATTCAAAGTCGTAAGTCCCTGAAGATTTTGGAACAAGGTCTCCGGGAGGTCTTGCAATTGTGTTCCAGTAATTCTGAGGGCCTTGAGGTTTACAGGGGAATCAAATGTGCCGGGTTGAACCTCACTCAAAGCAGTGTCATCAATCGCAATGAATATTGCATGTGAGGCAGAAGAAAGATCCTCTGCTTTCAAAGAGTAGATGTTGAATTTGGAGAGGAAGAGGGCAGTTGTCGATAGCGGCAGAGGGGGAACATTTGATAAACCAATGCATGCCATTTCTTCTCCCTTACATTGGCATCCATCCGGACACGCCCAGACAGCAACGTTGATGGAGCAGAGAAATAGGAGCACTTGCAAGATGAGAGGTTGGTCCATCACACCCCTAGAAAAAGACACATAAATGTTGGATTACCTGTATTTATTTATTTATTTATTTTTCATTCCAATGAACCAGTGTCGACAAATGTATCACTTTATTCATATTTAGATCCAATGTTGATTCACTTGGGTGCTCTATTCTGGAAATGAATTGCTCATGGAACCCCAACGGCTCCTCTTTATGTCAAAGGTGGTTCGAATCCCAAAAAAATGAGATTCTATGCAATTAGGAGGTTTGAACACTCTTGCATCTGAACTGTCAAAAACGATCTTTCTTTGGTCAGTAGTTTTGGGGAATTGTTCCAAAAAAGGCACCATCGTCATTATCATTGTAACTTGTTATGGCATGAAATGATCGTACACCAGAAAATGATGAACCTTCGAATCATCGGCTGGGGCTTTGCCTATCATTTTGGAAGAGGAATTGTCCAAAAATTGGTCAGTGACCAATTTCTTCATATAAATCAATTTCAGGAAATGGGGGTCACAATCAGCATGAATTTGTGGTGGGAGAGTTACAAGCTATCAGAATCATTCATGGTGAAGGAGAGATAAGCCAACATCAAATGCTGACTCAGCTGTAGACTGTGATTCCCTCTCCCAGCGACTAAATGCATACTCCTATTAACGGCTGAGTTTTTTTTCTTTTTTTTTTCTCTCAGAACTGGGAACATTCGCTGCTGTTTCTCTTCAGTGGCAACTTTTGGTTTTCACAAGGACTTCCTCCCATGAGCTACCTCCCCAGGAAATCAAATTGATACATTTCCCCTGAGTAAGTGCATTGTCCAAGTACCGTTTCCCTGTTTTTCTTTTGAGCGGATGACTGGTGATAAGTAACGCAACCAGAGCATCTCCTCCCAAACAGCTCCAGTTAATTTTAGAATCATACCATTTGACAAAAACAACAGCAACAAAACACATTCCGCTTTGGTTCATATTCGAATTCTCCTGTATGTAGAATTGGAACGTGTGCCAAATATGTCTAAAGCCTATCTATTTCACCATAAAGTGCTTTGATTTTTTATTTTTATTTTTTTGCCCCTTGCATGACGCAAGAGCAGCACTTTGTTATACAGACTTTTAACCAGAATTGAGAGCCTATTTACATTTGTGTAACGGAAATCCAAACTTACTGATAAGCTTGTATTCAGATTCAGTACTGTATTATCTTTCTAACAATCAAAAAATCACTGTCTCAATAACTGGCAGTAAGACTTGGCAAGTACAGAATCTTCCAACAACTCTACTATACCACACACACTGAAAGACACACAACATTCTACATTTCTTACCTCGAATGGTGGCAGATGATTTAACACAGACAGGGAGTTGGTGTTATCTCTTATGCACACACTGCCTTCCCTCTGAAGCTAATGAAGTTCTGTGATGAAAATATCACACTCACATTATCAACGCTTTCCTGGTCCTCTTCATCACATGGGTCTCTTCGTCTTTCAGTTTTCTTTTATCCGCTCGTGAAATCTGTTGCTCGGCATCATTGTACCAGTTATCTCAGAGTCCTCACTGTTTCTGCTGCCGGTTTTTGGGCAGGGCAATTGGGTGAAGGGGGAAGCCCCTCCCTCTCTGGGGTCAGAACTGGTTTGAATGCACACATTGGGCGATTTAGGTCTTGTAGGACCCATGTGTTTTCAATTACTGTATTTTTGCAACATCTGTGCGTGTCAGATGATTTTCTAGTAGGAAACAGATGCTGCGTTTAAGATTGAGGTGATGTGAAGAGGAAGTGTTTTTTGTTGTTGTTATTTTCAAAGAAATTGTGCCTCTTGCATTGTTTTCTCATGCAACACCTCTTTCCATTGATGCTATGTCCAGATGTTCTTAATTTCAATGCAAGGAAATGCCTATTGTACTGTATACGTATGACTAAATGAGACTCAATAAAACAGCTGATTCATCCTGATAACATCCTCAGAATGTGGAATGACAAAACCACTCCAGCATTTGGTTACAAAGTAAAAAAAACAAAAAAAGCACTGTGTCCACAGTAAATCAACAGGGGAGGGTGGACAGCATTTTTTAACCTAAACAAACTGCTTCTTTACCACAAAATCCAGATAGTGAGGGTGGAACCACAGCAACGTAGAGGACCCCTATCAGTAAACACACAACATATACCATATAGGAAGATGGTGCTGTAGTCACCGTGTCGTATGTGGTGAAATACTGAACATGTCAGCCAGAAATGAATCCATTTGCAAGACTTGTGTCTTTTTATCACATTGCCTTTACACTATAATACTTTACACAAGCACAATGTATTAGGGCCACACTGAAAATAAGTTAAAATAATACAATAAGAATGATAGTACAATAATACAACAAAGATGAATTAAAGTTGCTCAAAAAATCTTGACATGACAAGAAAAAAAGCCTTGAATTCAAATGAATTTAAATCTTTGTAGACCGTGCATCTGTGCCATGGTGTAAAAGCCGGCAGATACTGATTTTCGTGTCGGCGCAAGGCTAGCCGCACTGCTTGCCATTTGGCAGACCAGTCTTTCGCCAAGACGGTGCAGTAGAAGGAGTGTCTTGTAGCTACGCCTGGCCCAGTGATATTTTTTGTGGCAGAAAGTCAACCTAAACCTTAAGCTCGCTCGGACCACGTCTAATATCAGCATAAAGTAGACTGCTGCTCAGACACGACATATTTCTTTCAGAAAAATGTGAACAGTGGGCAGGAAACCGTCTGAGTCCTAGTATTATATTTTTTAAAGCGCCCCACTGGACAGGATGGCCTCCAAGTGCCCAGTTCATGGTGCAGATATGCTCCTGCCATGTTGAGACTATATTGTAGCGTGCAACTAGTGTGCCCCATTTAACAGAACTAAAAGGAGCCGTTTTTATTGGGCATGTTTGAAGTCGGCTGTTAGCAGGCCCACAGCAGCACTGCCTTCCCTATCACAGATCCGTTAGCCTACACTTGTCCAACATTACCATCATCGGGTCTAACCTGCCTCCACATGGAGTTAATCCACACAGCATGCAGGATTCACGCTGGTCATGAAAATAGAGCCCTTAATGCTTTTGGAAATCGTATTGTCAATATTACAACTCCTTGGATCAATATTTAATATTATACCTCAATCAAAGTTTTTTTTCCCGTAATTGTGCAACTCCCCCCCAGTGTGGCCATGCGACTACTCTGAAATAGTGTTTTTGACTTTGATACAACACCTGCATCGTTGTTCCTCGATACCGATGTTGAAACGGTACCATGGTAAAAACTTGAAAGTAAAACAAATGGAACAATAGCTGACATCTTCAAATGATTTTTATTTGCATTAATTCAGAAAATTATAGGAATACTGATTAGAATACATTTGATAAAACACATTTGGAAGATTTTTAAACACTTAAAAACAATCGAACACAGAATATTCAACATGTTTAAACACTACTGTAGATTTTACTTTATGTACAGTACAAAAGTCTTGGTCCACCAAAATATTTGTTGTTTTAGCAATGTTGCCGTGGTCATCAATAACTAGAAGGCTACCAAGTAGATCAAACCCTCAGTTGCTGGACATTACAATGTGATACTCAACAGGACTTACAAAAATGGAAAAACGCCTGACTTTTGATTGCTCGGAAATTATTGTATTCTTGTCCAATGAGACTTTCATCCCATGAGTCACTGCTTTTTTGCAAACTTTCCGCTTGTTTTCAACTGCACCATTTCCTCTGCCTTGTGTGTGTGTGCGTGTGCGTGTGCGTGTGTGTGTGTGTGAGATGTGAGAATGGGTTTATAGCTCCTGTTGTGTAAAAGCAGCGTACTGGAAAGTCCTAATCACCTGTTGTCATGGCAATGAACTTGGGAGCAGCTCAGAAATTCATCCTCCTATTGTTGGCTGTTTGTTTTAAAGTTATGGAATTTGTGGCATCTGAGGTCATTATATAAAAGGCGAACCCACTTTGAAAGCTTCAAAGACCATACCCAAATGTTAAATGATTTATATTATTATGCTTATTATTACGAGAATTGTCCCGGATGTACAATGTAGTTATGAACACAAAGCGCTGCTCCACATGCAATTCTTTGAGAAAGGATAGCCGTTTTCCTCAAACGAAATGATCAGAAAGAGAAGCCCATTTAGCTTCCTAATTGCCTTGAATGTCTTGACTCTCGATTGGGAAATATCTGCTCTCTGTCCTTCTCACCCACTGAGGAAGTGTGATAGTCCTATCATAGCCCCAAGCGCACTTCTGTGAACAGCGTTTTTCATATTACTAAAAATATACTGCATGCACACCCATAAGGGGAACTGACTCTTGGCGTGTGTTCATTCGGGTCAATGTAAAAGTGAAAGTCAAATATTGAAAGAACGTTTCATATCCCTTATTTAAGAATGTAATCAGAAAAACAAGACATTTAAAATGAAATCAGAAAAAAAAATCCATCTCAGCAGTTTTGCAATACTCAGGCTTAGAAAGGGCTGATCCATTGCCAGCTGTTTGAAAGACGGTGCGGTTAAATTGCATACAAGTGTGTGAAGTTTTACATCCATGAGAAAATATGCACATGTATTACTCTGTATTGTTTTTAAGCTACGGTATTGCAAAAGAACAAAGTGTGACGAAAGCATTTTGAATTTACGAATCATTTTCTCCGAACATTTGCCACTCTACTAATGTACAAAACCTAATAAACATCTTAACCGCTTAAATGTGTACATATAGTGCCTTTATCTCCTCCACCCTCTTACTAAGAAGATGTATACCATACATGTTGCAAAGGATGAGGAAGAAGCCTGTGGCCACAAGAAGGACATGAGAAAAGGCGAGGAAGCCTGTCAGGACTGCATTTGAGGGCAAAAACCACACATACACCCAACCGCTGATATAGTTGTGGTGGACGAAGTTGAGGCCCTGTTCCTCTACTAGCATATCATAAAAAGGCGGTGAAATGTCATAGGTGAAGGAAGTCTGATCTGCTTCGACGCTGGTTTGGGCTCGGTGTGAGGTAGCCGCTTCGGTAGCTGAAGGGGTTGTCGGAGACGACCCTTGAGTACAGCTTGGAGTGACTGTTGTAACGTTGCAATTGTTCAGTTCCTCATCATGTAGAGAGTCAAGGGTACGGAGTATTTGGTACTTCGGAGTGTGACACATCACATCTTGACCGTCAAGAACTACATGCTTATTCTGTCTTATCCATCTCGCAAAACCTCTAATGCTGCAGGTACAGTCCCACGGGTTTTCACTCAAAGCAACCTTTAGAAATGTATTGGACGTGAAAATATCTTCTGGAAGGTTTTTGAGCTCGTTGGCCTTCAAATCCAACATGGTAAGTTGTCCGAGCTCCTGGAATATGTTTTCGGGTAGGTTCTTGAGGGTGTTGTTATTGAGGAGTAGTATGTCCAGTTTGTTTAATCTGGAAAAGTGTTGCGGGTGCAGCTGCTGGAGGTTGTTGGATTTCAGCGAGAGCTTCTGCAGTTGAGGAAGACAGCAAAACAAGTGTGGCGGCAGATCACTTAGCACGTCATTAAAATGGAAGTTTAGAGTCTGCAGCCCAGACATGTTGGCAAACAGATTTCCAGGCACTGTGATGAGGTTTGTGGCATATAGGTAAAATTCTGTAATTCCAGGCATGTGCCCCATCAGCTCATCCGGTAGAAATACAAGTGGGTTATTGTAAAGGGTCAGCTTAGACAGTTTGGGCATGTTGTAGAAGCTCCTCTCAGGAACAAATTCAAGCTGGTTGTTCGACAAGGTGAGATTCTTCAAGTTTCTCAGTGACCAGAACACCTCCGGGGGAATAGTGGCTATCACGTTGGAGTGGATATGGAGATACTCAAGGTTCACCAGTCCATCAAAGATACCAGCTTCTAACCTCTCTAATTTGTTTTTATGGATGCTGAGCTTGTTCAGGTTGATCAAGGAGTGAAAGATGGTAGGAGAAAGTGTTTTCAAGTAGTTACTGCCAATGTTGAGGATTTCAAGGTTTCTCAGTCCCCTGAAAGCCCCCGAAGGAACACTGGATAATTTGTTTTGGCTCAAGTTTATATCCTGCAAAGCAATGAGTCCTTGAAACAATTCGGCAGGAATGGTCTCCAGTTGGTTCCTATTTAAATGCAGCTCCTCCAGAGTGACCAGTGGGCTAAAAACTCTTGCATCAAATGCGGAAAGATCATTGTCTGACAGCTGGAGAGACTTCAGCTGCGGAGCGACACGGAAAGCCTGTGGATGGACAGTATGGAGGTGGCTAAAAGTTAAACTAAAACGCAACATCAGCTCCTTTTTCTCCAGGCTCCGCTCATTTATGACCTGCATGTTTGTGAGGGCCAACTGCAGTTTGTACGTGTGAGTAGGCAGTTGTTTTGGTGTATCAATAATATTACTTCCGATGCACGTGACGATGCCGTTGGGAGAGCACTCGCAGACGCTGGGGCAGCTTGCGATGCAGGTGAAGAAGGTGGAGAATACGAGTACCCACAACAATTCTGCACAAAAACAAATTCAACCATTATTTAGTAATTATATACAAAATTAATTGTAGTAAATTTCACAGCTGCATTTAAGGGTAAATTGAAGTATTGATATTAATGCAATTAATTACATTTGTGATGCATTCAAGCAGGACAACAGTTAAAAAGTTGGATCGAAGGATTGGGTTGTTTCTTTCAAATAATAAATACATTGTAAATAGCAAATATTCTACTGACCTGTTAAAAAAGAATCCATCCTTTCCAATGTTATTATTATATTGCTATCAAGCCCAACCTGATCTTGGAGCAGGACAGCTACTAGCGTGCCAATCCAAACTTCAGTCAAATTAGAAGTCTTCTCCACAATGTGTTGTCGCTGATATCCAGAAAAAACTGGCACACATGGATGCTGGCTCATTTCCTTGTGCTTATACTGACTGGTGACGCAACTTAATCTAACCCGTGTGTGGGGCAGTTGTCTGATGTGAAGTACTGATATTATTCGATTATGACCAACAAAAAGTCATGCTACTAACTGTTGGACTACTGCTGCAAATAAGAATGACCCTACTCATACTACGGTGTTTTTTGTGAACTGTTATATTAACAGTAACTCTGGCCTCTTCCTGGTACCAGGCACCGATGACATGTGTGCTCACTCACGGGTACTCCCAAATTCCAAAGGGTTTGTTGGAGGGTCCCATGTTTTATGTTGTTGGTTGTTCTGCTTCTTCAGCTGTTGCTTGCCACGGCAGCAAAAAAAAGCAAATGCGTCATTCATCTCGCCGTGTGACTTTGAACTTTTTTAGCTGTCTTATACTTTGTATGGCCACATGATAAAAGGGTGTGCACCCAACTCTTGAGCTTTGCTATTTTTTTTAATAGCGTATTTCATACACAAACAACTTAAAAAGATTAACAAAGCAATTACAGTAAATGAGTCCTAAACAATAAGATTGTGGCCAAAAAGTCCATTACTAGTCAGAAAATGACTATATATATATATATATATATATATATATATATATATATATATATATATATATATATATATTTTTTTTTTAATCTATTTAGTTCCTCACACTTCTT